TCATGCCATAAACTGACTCGTTGCTATGTTTAAAGGCAAGGGTGTATTTACGCCCATTTAAGTTAGTAAGCTGTGATGTGCTTTTGTGTCTTCAAAGCAACAAACAAACCTGATTATTTCTCTGAACTATCCGGGAAAGGGCTGGACATTATGGGGCATATGGTTTGGGGGAAATTTGGCACTGGGAGTGTGTTGGAGTCGTCTTGCTGGTTGTAACCAAGCCTGGTGGATGCCAGAGCGTAACTGGTGTGCTGCTAGCAGACGGCTGGGGTCAGTGTCTGTGGGACCAGGGTTGCAGCTATACACAGACACTCAGGGTGTGACCTCACACACACACACTGTCACACACTCCCCTCAACACACACACACACACACACTGTCTCTCACATACACACACTCTCACACACATGCTTTCTCAAACACATGCCCCTAACCCACAAGCATTCTTTCACACAATCCTTCAAGCCCCACCCCACACTGTTTCTCACATACACACAATCTCTCACACACTTCCCCAACACACTCTTACGCACATGCACACACACAGTCTATGTCACCCCCCCAACAGAGACACACTCACACGCTTTCTCACACACACGCACAGTCTCCATCACAGTCCCCGAAACACTCACACACACTCTCTCTCACACGCATACACACACACACACTTGAATTATTATTTTTGTTGTTACTTCTTGTTACTTCCTGTTGCAATGCACAAGGCACATATAGTCTTTATAATTTTATTCTTTCAAAGTTCGTTGAGGATTACAGTGCTGTTATTTTAGTTTTTCAACTGCTCTGTTCATTTCATCATTTTATTTCTCTTATGCTTAAATTTAATTCTTTGAATAGTGAGTTCTAAAATGCCCAACCTGTCCTGGTTGGAGTAATAATCATTATTACTTTTATTACCATATTGTGCTTTGTCATTCATTATTTAAAATGGTATAATCAACTAATAGTATCCGTCTAGAATGTCAATTAGCTTATACAAACCTTAGAAATGCCAGTTTAAAACACAATTAGTTAAACACACACTGGGCAGATGAAGGTTACTTATTTGCAAATTGTACTTTTAGTTATATCTATAAAATAGCTTAAAATTTGTATGAAAATAAATGCAGTTCCAAGTCTGATACTAACAGTAATGATTGAGTTAAAGGTTAGTGAGTCACAGACATGATTGTGCTCAGTAAACATAAATGCTAAAATAATTAGAAAAATAAATTCCCCCTTGTCATAACTATAAAGGGAAGGGTAACAGCTCTCCTGTGTACAGTACTATAAAATCCCTCCTGGCCAGAGACTCCAAAATCCTTTTACCTGTAAAGGGTTAAGAAACTCAGGTAACCTGGCTGACACCTGACCCAAAGGACCAATAAGGGGACAAGATACTTTCAAATCTTGGGCGGGGGGGGGGGGAAGGTTTTTGTTTGTGCTCTTTGTTTTGGGGGGTTGTTCACTCTTGGGACTAAAAGGGACCAGACATCAATCCAGGCTCTCCACATCTCTTTGAACAAGTCTCTCATATTTCAAACTTGTAAGTAAACAGCCAGGCAAGGCGTGTTAGTTCACCTTTGTTTTTCTCAACTTGTAAATGTACCTTTTACTAGGGTGTTTACCTCTGTTTGCTGTAACTTTGAACCTAAGGCTAGAGGGGGGTCCTCTGGGCTCTTTAAGTTTGATTACCGTGTAAGTTATTTTCCATCCTGATTTTACAGAGATGATTTTTACCTTTTTCTTTAATTAAAAGCCTTCTTTTTAAGAACCTGATTGATTTTTCCTTGTTTTTAGATCCAAGGGGGTTGGATCTTGATCCACCAGGAGTTGGTGGGAGGAAGGAGGGGCTGATGGTTAATTTCTCCTTGTTTTAAGATCCAAGGGGTTTGGATCTGTATTCACCAGGGAATTGGTGAAGAGTCTCTCAAGGCTACCCAGGGAAGGGAATTAGCATCGAGAGTGGTGGCAGCGGACCAGATCTAAGCTGGTAGTTAAGCTTAGAAGTTTTCATGCAGGCCCCCACATCTGTACCCTAAAGTTCAGAGTGGGGAAGCAGCCTTGACACCCCTTCTTAATAAAAGAGGGAAAAACCTTAACTGCATATGTTAAAGTTAAGTAAATACATTTTTAGTGAAGTGAAAAACAATTCACTAAACTAGAGCAGACAATGGCAGTAACACAGAGTGTGTCAGAGAAAGTAAGGAGGTTTTATTTCGCTCTCCTAAAGATAGTGCACAAAGTACCAAACATGTGTTGCTGATATCTGTGTTAAAGATCCAGAACTGATCCCCCAAGGATTGGGATTGGGAATATCTTGCTGTATTATCTCTTGATTGTTCTAAATTCTTTAACAATCAGATTTTTTAGAACAATTTTTGAGAACGGCCGTTATCAGAACATCCCATTGTCCAATACATTTTGTGAAGGCCAAGATTATAACAGGGTTCAAAAAAGAACTAGATAAATGAATGGAGCGTATGTCCCATCAATGGATATTAGTCAGGATGGGCAGGGATGGTGCTAGCCGCTGTTAGCCAGAAGCTGGGAATGGGTGACGGGGATGGATCAGTTGATGATTGTCTGTTCTGTTCATTCCCTCTGGGGCACCTGGAATTGGCCACTGTTGGAAGACAGGATACTGGGCTAGATGGATCTTTGGTCTGACCCACTAAGGTCGTTCTTATGTTCTATGTGAGTAACTGCTCAATCTTGTCCCCCATGAGGATAATCAGAAAATGTCTTGTCTGCCCTTGAAATGCTCCTGCAGGATCTCTGTAGCTCTTATCTGTAGACATAATTTATGCCAAATGGAGGGATTCCCCATTGGTGTACATAAGCCCCCTCCCTGAGAGGTGGTAGCTAGGTCAACAGAAGAATTCCTCAGTCGCCCTAGTGCTGCCTACTCGGGGACTTGGGTTGGCTTAACTAAGCCAATCAGGAGTGTGGATTTTTCACATGCCAGAGTGACTTATTTATGATGACCTAATTTTCTAGAGCAGACCAGGACTTAGATATTACATAAGACAAGGAAGTGTGGTAGAATCAGGCCTGTAGTGACATACTATTTCATGAGAGGATGAGTGGCTGGATTACATGCCCAGTTTCAGGATGAACCTGTTCTCAAAACAAATCCCACAATGGCAGAGAAATGGCTTATTTCACACTCATGTACTTCAACATCTGAAAATGTTTAATTCACATTTTCTTTGAAAAGAAATAACCCAGAGGGCCCTGTCTATACGAAAATTTGTGTCCTTGTTTATTCAGTGACACAAACATTGTTTCCCGAGCCCTAGATTGAACCATGACCAACATACATACATCTGGGGAGTATCTATATTTGCATTCAGCATCTTGTGAGTTCACCCCACATGTCAATCAACCTGAGTGATGAAATGATCAACAATTCTAGTCTAGTCAGAGCCTAGGATTTCAGGCCATCAGCGCATGCCTGGTTTTGTATATTTGCACTGTTAGAAACATGTTTTGAAAAGTGCAACTGACTAGAATTGGTTTAGGAATAAGCTGTTCTCTCAGCCTTACCTATTCCATAGCATCACTACTGCAAATTATCATAGTTTACAACTGATGAACAAAATGAAAGCAATATTGGATTATTTCCATCTATTCTTTTATTGATAGGATGCTACAGAACAATATGTTTTTCTATTTATAAAGAACAGGTTAGTGCTTTGTATTTGATCAGTAATGATTTTGATTAATGAAACAAATTAATTCTGTGGAGGTTTCTATACTGTAGTAGTTTTATTTAATATTTCAAAGGAGACAGAACAAGCTCAGTTTACATACACTGGATTTGGGGCCAGATCCTCTACTGGTCTTGAGTGGTTTAGCTCTATTGACTCAATGGAAATACACCAATTTACACCAGTTGAGGATCTGTCCCTGTGAAGGAGATTATCAGTGCAGTTTCTAATTCCCTCCTCAGTGTCCAGTGCAGTTGTGCCTTCCTTAAACACCCATAAAGCAATTAAAGTCCACATTTTTGAACCCAGTCAACCCTTTCCTGCTCCTGCTCTTGTTGTTCTTGCTACTTCTGCAGCTGATGTTTCCCCCACGACGGATAGCTATCCCTGTGGATGTTCCTTGCTGCTCTCACAGCAGATTTCATAGCAGTGTCG